TACTTCCCTCACTCACCTCATCTGCAAAATAGGGTTGATAATAACCACCTGGCAGAGTAGTTAAGCAGGATAAATGGGATACTGTGTTTAAAGTCCTTAACCTAGTATCTAGCACAACATTTAAGAATTCGGTCACCCTTCTGATCAAGCTAGTTACAAAGCACTAGAGTAAGAAAGTTATGATTTTTTGCATCCCAAGTTTAGGGGGTAGTATGGAAGTTGGGTTGATGGGACAGTATAGAATGCCTGGGTAGCAGAAGGAGCCTGTTTTCAGAATCTCTGTTCCATTTCCACTCTGTTCTTGCCAAGGCACTCCACATACCATCCTTGTCCCCACACTCAGAGATCAGGACCCTGAGGGACAGTGCAATGATCCTAGGCTGTAGAGTCTAGGAGATGCGGAATGACTTCCCAGCAACACATGCTCACTACTGTGTAGATTTGGCCAATTCATTTCCCATGGTTGAGCTTGGTATGAAATAGGGCTAATGATCTCTCTACATGTCTTACTGGAGAGGGAGACGGAAAACAGAAACAAAAGTCTGTGTAAAGGGTAAAGATTTGATGAATGTAAGATAGTGGGCCTACAAACTACCTCAGATGCAGAAAGAGGGACAAGAAGTTCCTGGGAAGAAGAGGACAACACTTAATGAAGAAGAAAGAGAGGAACTAAGGGCTAAGATTGAGCAAAAGACAGAGAGAGCTGAGAGCTATCATTTAGTAAAAGGTCAGGAAGTGCATTTTCTATCTTAGAAATAAATAGCAAAAAGCAAAAACACAAATTGAATAATTTGTATTGAATAATCGAGCTGGTGGCTGAGCAGTAAAAAGAAGGAGGGTGGTTTTTCACTCAGAGGGCCAAGGGACTAACTGTATTCCCTTTGATTCAGAAAGGCTCGATGTGGAGGAGGAAATAGGGTGGGGAGTGACCAGGACACAAGTGGAGCACCCCATAGACCTGGCCTGGTGAGGTAGAAAGAGTAGGACTTTGGAGGCAGAAACACACATACATTTTAATTCCAGATCCAAAATTTACAAACTGTGACCCCTTGGGTAAGTCATCTCATCTTTCTGAGACCTGGTTTTCACATCTGTAAAATGGATAATAACACCTATCTCACTCAAGTAGTTGGGAAAATTAGATGAGATAGTGCATGTAAAGTTTCAAATAGTGTCTTACACAAAGTAGAGATTTTTGTTTTGCAGCACAGAAATAAGGACAGGAAGGAGAGTGGAGGTCAAGTTGGCTCTGTCACTCATTCCCTAGGTAACTTGGGCCTCAGTTTCCTCATCTGTGACATGAATAGCAATAAGATCTATATTCTGCCCAGTTATTGTGAAGAACTAATGAGATGATCTATTTAGAGCTAGTTCATTCCTTCTAACTGTGGTATCATATTTCATTATTCCTCTACTAGAGGACATGTAGTTCGTTTCCAATATGACAAACTATCATGTTATCCATCTTTACAAATCCTCTTATAGTGTAACTATTTCTTCTAAAATAATTAGAAGTGGAATTGCTGAGTTATAGGGTATATTCATATTTAATATAAATAGATACTTCCAAATTACTCTACAAAGTGGTGGTACCAATTTATACTCTTACCAGCAGTATATGACAGTGTCCATTCCCCCCACCCAACCTTCTCAGTATTAATGTGATCCTGTGAGCCTCTGTTTACAACATTTTTGTCAATGGGTCAATACATAACTTTGTTTTGTGTGTTTCTGTTTAAAGACACCTTATTTAATACATATTGTAAATTTATTAACATTTAACTGACGGCCAAGAGCACTATAATTCCTGCCCAAACAAAGTTTACCTAATATGTGTATTTTCTCCACAAGGCACATGACAGTCTATTTTCGTGCTTAGGAACACTAGACAGCTCTTGAGCACTACATTTGGGGGCCATTTTAAACAGTGAAACCACCATCAAAAGTCATAAAAATGCAAAAACATGGTACTCGATATACTATGAAAAGGATACTTGTTTACAGTATGAGAGCTGAAACAAGAAGGCAGAGTACAGCCTTGTTCAACCTCAGCTAGGAATGTGTGTGATGGGGTAACTCAAATTTTTTGCTCTGCGCATGTCCACATTCGCAAATGACCTTGAAAACACTGCAAGTGTTGATTTTGAGGTTACAAATAAATTTTAGCAAATAGGCAAATTCACAGCTATTGAATCTGCCAATAATGATTGCCTGTATGTGTGCACATCTATTTATAATATCTTTGCAGTGTATCACTAATTTTTTAACTTTATGTATAATGTCTTTTGTATTATTTGCATTTCATGTAGGAAAATTTGCCAATCTTTTCCCTTATTTTAAAAAACTAAACGTTTTATTTAAATTTCTATATTTTAATTGGTCTGTTTCTGGACTAGCTATTCTAGGGTTTCTCAACATCGGCTATTGACATTTTGGGTTGGATAATTCTTTGTTGTGGAGTGCTGTCCTGTATTGTAGACTGTTTAATAGCATCCATGGCCTCAACCAAAAGATACCAGTAGCACTCCTTGCCCAATTGTAACAACCAAACATGTCTCCACACATTGCCAAATGTCCTTGGGGGGCAAATCTGCACCTAATTGAAGACACTGCATTGGCTAATTCTGTCAGTTTCTGTGACAATATCAAAATGACAAATTCTTATCTTTAAAAAATGTCCTATTTTCTGATAGAGAAAGTCCCTTCTTTCTTTCCCATAATTGTTTTTGTTCACTCTTGCACCTTTACTCTTCTAGATTTTTATAATTAATTTGAAAAAATTCCATTAAACCTTCTGTTGGGATTTTTATTTATAGATTAATTTGGAAAGAACTGATTTGTCTATAATATTGAGCCTTCCTATTCACATACTTTTCATATCTCAAAAGATAGGTTCTTTTATGTCTTTCATAAAATTTTATGATTTTTCTCTATAAAAGTTGAAGTTGCGCCCTTGCAGTTCAGTTGGTTAGAGCATCAGCCTGATATGCCAAGGTCGTGGGTTTGATTCCCAGTCAGGGCACATATAAGAATCAACCACTGGCTCTGGCCGGTTTGGCTCAGTGGTTAGAGCGTCGGCCTGCGGTCCAGAGAGACCCGGGTTCGGTTCCCGCTAAGGGCATGTACCTCGGTTGCAGTTTGTCCCCGGCCCTGGTTGGTCGTGCGGGTGGCGGCCACTCGATGTGTCCCTTTCACATCGATGTTTCTCTCTCTCTCTCTCTTCCTATCACTCTATCTGAACAAAAAAATGGAAAAATGTCCTCGGGTGAGGATTTCTCTCTCTCTCTCTCTCTCTCTCTCTCTCTCTCTCTCTTTCTCTCTCTTCTTCCTCCTCCCCCTTCATCTCTCTCCAATTGATAAATAAAATTTTTTTAAAAGTTGAAGTCTGGACTATACCTGGTCTCCCTGAGGTTGGGTCTATGCTCAGCCTTTCTTCCTATTCTTCTGCCACTGCCTCCCAGGTTTTTCTAACTCTAAAGAGAGCCAGACAAATCCTCCCACCCACAAAAGCCATCCCTCCTGCTTTTCACTGCTCTGCCACAGTGGGATTATTCATAAACATCAGGATCTGAGATGCGTTCATATGCTGTTGTTTGTGCAAAGCCTGTTGTGAAATTGGAAACATAATCTTGTGCAAATGAAAAGGTCTCTCTGTCTTTCTCTGAAACTTAGCTGTTATCTACCCTGCCCCTTCTCCCTCCTTGATGTTTGCCATCCTTGCTTCTGAGCTTAAATTCCTCTCCTGTCCAGCCTGGCCTTACTCTCTATAGTGTCCCACGATGAATGACCCTATCACTGCATAGGTCTCACTCAGTCCTGCCCACACACCTTTACTCACTATTTATCCTATCCTGAAATGCCTTTTCTCATCTGTTTTGCCTAACCAACTCCTTCACTAATTCAGGTCTCCTTTCCTTTTTGAAACCCTCCTTACACTTGGTATTAAACAATTTTGTGCTTAATTGTATACCTACACAGACCCAGTGTGGTGGGCTGAAGAAAGAGCATGACTCAAGGCAGAAAGACATGGGACAGATTTCAGCGTTACCATTTATTAGCCGTGATACTTTGAGCAGTCACCTAATCACTCTCAGCCTTGATTTTCTCATTTGTAAAATGGAGGTAATACCACCCATTTTGAGTATTGTCTACCAAACTATACTGAAAAATCTTTTGCGAAGAGCTACTTGTTTCTTTCACAGTACCTTGCAGAGGTCGTAAATATATGTGATATAAAGACTTGTGAAAAAGCAACACTTTTTGAGAGAGGGGCTGTAGGGAGCCTCGAGGTGGCCTGTACTAATAAAGAAATGGGTAGTCAGAACATCAGATAATCGAAAAATACCTGTATTTACTTTCTGAATAAGTTGAGTTTGGGGAGCAGCAAATTTTTCTTATTAATTGTATATTGCTTGGGGTAATATTAAAATCAGTTTGCATTTTCTAAGGCTAGAATTAAAAAATATTGCCTCAGAAAATCCACAAGATAGACCCTGGCCGGTTTGGCTCAGCGGTGAGAGCGTCGGCCTGTGGTCCAGAGAGACCTGGGTTTGGTTCCCACTAAGGGCACGTACCTCGGTTGCAGTTTGTCCCCAGCCCTGGTTGGTCGTGTGGGTGGCAGCCACTCAATGTGTCCCTTTCACGTCGATGTTTCTCTCTCTCTCTCTTCCTCTCTCTCCCTCCCATTCTATCTGAACAAAAAATGGAAAAATGTCCTCAGGTGAGGATAAAAAAAAAAAAGAAAATCCACAAGATGGGTTCATCTTTGTGTAACAAATAGAATGCTGACTATATCAAATTATTTTGCTAAACACAGAGCACATGAAAAGTTTAGGATGGAGATGTTTAGATCATACACCTCTTGAGAAATGTGCTGCTGTTTCTGAATATCCCAGGAATACTCATGAGGAAAATGTTCAAAATATCATTTCTAAATATGTCCCCTTTATAAAAAATGCTTGCCTGCTGAATACAAAGAAATCATGTGACCTCTTTCTTACCTGTAGTCTGTAAGCTTAAACCTGGGTCCAGCTTTGTGTGAGGCTTTGAGCTGATGAACAGGTAACAAAGCACACAGGCAGTGACAATGAAGGCCAGGAGGACCACCGCTGCTATGGATAGGCCCACAAGAGCACCAATACTGGGGAGAGAAGACCACAGAGGAGCTGAGTGTCAGGAAGGGACTTAGGAGGCAGCATATTATAGAAGAAGTCTTGTTCTGTCTCTATTTGTCTTAAACAGGCTTTCTGTGCCTAAGCATGGGAAAAAATATCAACTATATGCCAAGTATTCCCCACATATATAACATGACATGCCTCAGTGACACCACTTAGTTGGTACTTAGTATGTGTTCCCTTTCTTCTCCTCTCCTTCCCTCCCTACTTTCCTCAACCTGCTCCCACCCCAGGGAGCTGGAGATGGTCTAAAAGAGCCATCCCTACGTTGCTGTTTCTTAAAAAAATTAAGATATATGGTAAGCCTTAGTTAAAAGCCAGCTGTCCTTCCAGCCTCAAGGAAATTTGTGACCCACCCTCCAGTAGGTCATCACACCAGTTTGGACTCCACATCTACAAACCTCCCTGTCACTGGTCCCTCACTATTCAACTTCATTGTGTCTGCCCCAACCCAAGTCAGGCCTTGGTCACTTGGTCTCTAAACAACTCCTAGCTCATTTGGGGACCACTGTCTTTCCTTTTTCACATGTTCCCTCCTCCTCATTCCCCATATTGGAATTTTACCTGTCTTCAAAGGCCCAACTCAAGTGTCTCCTCTTCAGTAATGCTTTCCTAGGTCATCTTTCTCTTCCCTCCCCTCAGTTTCCTGAATGCCAGGCTAATCCACTCAGGATACTTTACTCAGGACCTTTAGCACTTCCCACTGGGTCAGGCAGCCCAATGTGGTAAGAAAAGAGCAAAGAGCTTTGGAACCAGACCTACCTGGTTTAGGACCCAGCTCTGTAACTACCCGTGAGATCTTGATGAAGTTATTTAACCTGTTAAGTCTAAGTTTCTTGGCTGAAAATTGAGAATAATCAAAACACAGCATGTCACAGGTGGTAGTGAAGATGAAAGATATATGTCACATTCTTGGCACACAGTAGGTGTTCAACATATTTCTCCTTGAAGGCAGACTCAGATGATATTTAATTGGTGTTTTCCTCCCCTTGTACAAGCCCTGGTACATGATAAGCAGTTAGTAAATATTACTTAATACCTACTATGTGTCAGGCATGGTGAGATGTTCTCCCAATGGTAGGAGATAGGTAGGTACCAGGCTCTGTTTGTGTGCCCTTCTTGCCTATGACTCTGAAAGGGGTTCCCCAACCCAATTCCAACTTCTGTGTGGAGATTTCTCCACACCAACAAGTGATTCTCTGACACTAGTAGGGTGTCTAAGAATTCAACTTAATTCTGACATAATCTATCCAAGATAGAATTAGAGTTCACAAGTTAAGGGTTCAGTTGTACAAGAATGCCCCCCCCCCCACACACACACACATACTTTAGACACCAGCTGCAAGCCCAGGCTCTTACCTGTGCTTCTGACCAGTCAGTAATAGATTGGAGGTTCTAATGATCCCCTCTTTGGGTTTCATTAGGATGCTAAAATGGCTCCCATTTATTACTGATTTATTATAAAGGATATTAAAGGATTCTAATCAATAGCCCGTTGCAGGGATATATAGGATGAGGTAATGAACAAAAGAGCTTCTATGGAGCTTGGGGCCTCGTAGTACATGGAAGCATTCTGGTTCCTCAACATGGAAGATCTCCAAAAAAGTAAAAAGAGCAACTGCTGTTGTTTTGGGTTTTTATAGAGGCTTCATTATGTAGTCATGATTGACTAAATCATTCGCCAACCATGTGATTGACAGTTGAACTCAATCTCTAGTCCTTCTCTATAGGTCAGGAAGAAGGTGGGGGTGGGCCAAAAGTTTCAAACCTCTAATCACATGGTTGGTTTTCTTGACAAGCACACTCCACACCTGGGTAGGACCCAAAAGGCACCTTTATTATTCTCAACACCTAGGAAATTCCAAGGGTTTTTGGAGCTGTGAGCCAGGAACTATGGATGAAGACCAAATGTCTTATAAATCACAGTACCGCAGACTCCTCCCCCTCTCTAAGCCCAGCCCCAGACTCCTGCCCTTGCCATTTCTACCAGATTTCACTCCGAGCTAGCTGGTGGCTAATTTCCACCAAACAGAAACACCTTAAAGCTTTGGAGAGTCTGTATTCTCATAGCTAAATAAATTATTGGACACCCCTGCAATGGAATAGTATAGAGTCTTTAAAAACATGTTTTCAAAAAATATTTAAGATCAAGGCTAAATTCAGAAGAGATAATGTTAAGTGAAAAGAGCAGGACACACTACTAAATATATAGTGTAATTCTAACTAGAATAAATTAATACAGATATGTACATAACTATACATATGTGAGGTTGGATGGAAATACACCAAAATGCTAATAGGCTGTCTCTAGGTGTAGCTCAGGCTGTGGATGTCCTGTCCCTGTCCCATTAGAGTTACAATTGTAAAATATTCTGGCCAGAGTTTCAAATGCTAGCATTTGTACCTTTTTGCCTGAGGGCTTTCTTAGGCTCAGAACAGTCTCTGCCGGCACAGTGAGCAGGTCAGAAGTGTAGGAAAATCAATGCCTGCCTTCTTACACCAGCACACAACTAATGACCAACAGAAATTGGTATTTAATATCCAGCTTCCTGGCCCTTAAGTGGAGTGACTCTGAGGTGTAGGTTCCACACTGGCTGGCAGAGTTCAGTAGGTTTAAGCTCTGGTGACCCTGAGTGGTGACTTGCTTGGTAGCACCATGGTTAGCTCCTTCCCTTCCCACCCACTCAGTTCCCCACCCTTCAATGTCTTTTAGAATTGATTTCCATGTAAACTATCTGCCTTCAAATCCTTGTCTCTGAGTCTTTGGGGGAACCCAAGCTAAGATACTGGATATCTCATAATTTCTTTCCTTTTTTTTTTTTTTATCTCTCCTGTCCTTTCCACATTTTTCACATACAGCATGTAGTACTTGTAGTTCTTTAAACATTATTTGCTCTTTTGAGATATACTCAGTGTTTATAAGGCTCTTAACTGGGAGACTTGTGCTCAAGTTGAGACCCCACTTTTTACAAGGGACATCTATGACCACCTGGATGGAAAGGGACCTCTAAAAGTAGAATCCTTCAAAGAGTGGATGAGAGAGCTGGGGTGGGGTGTATATATCCCAGATCAGTAGTTAGTCAAGAAGTGGGCACTGTCTCTGATGGTCTGTCTGGGGACAGAGGAAACAGCACCCAAGAACAGAACTGGGACAGAATAGGGGAGGCTCCAAGGGGTAAAATCTATGTTTAGTGTAAGATGAACTTTAAATGGTCAGAGTTGTCCCATGGTGAATGTTCTTCCTCAAGAGCGGTAAGTTCCCTATTACTGGACAGATTTGCACAGACCCCCCTGGATAAGGACACCTTTCAGTGAAGTTGGAGATTCCTGCCCTGGGTGGAAAATTAGATTGAAAAGCAACTAGCTCTTCAAGTCAATTTCATAGATTTATGACTAGGATTTTACAAATCTATGACTCTGAAAGATAGATATAGATAACTCACTGTGATCCCCCTCCCCAGAAAAAAAAATTGGAGGGTCAGCCCTGGCCGGTTTGGCTCAGCGGTTAGAGCATCGGCCTGTGGTCCCGAGAGACCCGGGTTCGGTTCCCACTAAGGTTATGTATCTCAGTTGCGGTTTGTCCCCGGCCCTGGTTGGGTCGTGTGAGTGGCAGCCACTCGATGTGTCCCTTTCACATCAATGTTTCTCTCTCTCTTCCTCTCTTTCCCTTCCACTCTATCTGAACAAAAAATGGAAAAATGTCCTCGGGTGAAGATTTTAAAAAAAATTGGAGGGTCAATCTGACATTTGTTAGGGTTTTTGAGTCAGGCAAGTATAATTTTGAATCTTGGTTCTGTCACATATAAACTGAAAAGTCCTTCATCTCTTGATCTTCATTTTCTTCATCTGTAAATGTTCCTATTTCACCAGATATCTATAACATTAAATAAGACAGTGCCTGACCACCAATTCTGCCCTCCAGCAAGGCTGCTGCCTTTTGGCTCACATCCTAATCAAAATCAGCACTACTGATAGAGGGGGACTGAAAAGTAGACCAAACAGCGACAGCATCAACAGCTTGTCCTCAGGGAGACTTCTCCTTCTCCTTCTTTGTCTTTTTTTTTTGAGTCTTCACTTCTTGAGACATGCTGTTAAAGATTCTCCTTGAGCGCTATTGAAGGAAACAGTGTTTACCTGAAGATTTATATGTTTTTAAGGCCAGCTTTCATGAAAAGGGCCAAATACAGCCCACTGCAGGTCTCTACACTGCAATGGCGGTGCTCTGATAGGAGCATGACAGAAGGGTTTTCGGGGTTTGGAGTACAGAGATCACCCAGATGTCCTGAGGACCTTCAGTTCTTCTCCTCCACTTTGCAATTGTCTGTGATGTTTATGAACAACTTTACGTACAAACTGAGGAAGAGTCAGCCCTGCAGGCTAGAACCTTTCAGCTGCCCTTGGGGTCATAGAATAGAAGCACACTGATATATGTTGTGACCTCAGAGCTCATCCCATTCAACCCACTACCTCATTGTCTAAGCCACTAAAGTACTCCATGCATCAAAAGGGTCCAAGGCAACTGGAGAGACCACAGGGGTGTATAGGGAAAAGGGTGGTAGTAGAGGGTTGGGGTTCTGAGTGGGTGCTGAAGAGGTTACTCGTCTCTATGTTTCCAAGGGCTAGCACAGTTCCCAGAAGACAGTCAGGGTCACCAAGTGTTTTTTCAAATGATCTGAGCAGAGCAGGCTGTAAGAGAGCCAGTCTAGATTTAGACAGTTGTGCAGCAGGACAAGCCTAGGCTTGAGGCCGGACAGGCTTGGAGCACTCCCTGATAGTAACTTAATGGCTTTCAGATTTTCTCATCTGTAAAATGGAGAGAAAATGTGCCAGGGTTGCAAATGTGTAAATGCATCTAGCTCTTGGGATGATCCTAGTTAATGTTCTTTAAATTTCATTCTGCCGTGGCATTGCTAGATCTTGGACAATTCACTTTCATACTCAAAGCTTCACTTTCTCCACCTAAGAGCCAGGAAAGAGGAACTCTCTTTTATTGAGTTTCTACAGTATGGACTAGTCACTTTCACATGCATACTTCACTTAATCCTCACAATTCCATAAGACAGGTATTACTATTTTAAAGGTGAAAAAAAAGAGACTCAGAGATAATTTGCTTGAATTCACATAGCTCGTAAGTGACAGAGCCAAGTTTTGGAATGGGTTCTAATCAGTCCCCAAACTCCAGGTTGTCTTTATACCTCAGAGGGAAGTAAGTACTGTCACTTCAGCACCCACCTTAGTGCTAAGTACCTAGTGGGTCTTAAACAAATACTCCATTGTTATTCTTTAGGTGCATGTCATATCTCTCTGAATGGACTGTGAGCTTCTGACAAGCAGGGAATAACTGATTTCTATGTCCCCAGTGCCTAGTACAGCACCTGACATAAAGCAAAGGCTATAATAAATGAATGAAAATATGGATGAACAGAGAATAAATTAACATATTTATGGGTTGCAGATAACAGCTGAATGTGCAGGAACTGAAAATTTGGTCACCTGAAAATTCTTTAAAATTATGAATTGAGCCGTTTAGAAAAAGCAGCAATATATATAATTGTCAGTGGCATATGCCAAGCTGACTTCACCTCTTCATCTCATTTGGTTCTTGCCCTTGTAGGAAATCAGGGCAATAATTGATCATCCTTCCCATTTGATGGATGAAAAAATGCAAGTTATCCATCCTTTCCCACTCAGAGGGCACACAGCCTCTAGCCAAATGTCCCTGCAACAGGAAACTCACTGTCTACTGAGATGGCCCACTCCAATTTTGCTGATGCCTGTTTCCCAGAGCAAGGTTAGGGCAAGGTCTACTTTTTGGGTGAGGAGATGGAGAGAGATTGAGAGCAATTGCTCTCTCAACCCCACAATGAGGTTCCAGGAATATCAGCAATGGCCTAACTACCCGCTTCCCTGAACAAGTGGACAAACTGAGCCCTGTGGGTGGATATTCACCCAAATCACACTGCTATGAATACAGCCTGAGTTGGCTTCTGCTGTAGCCATTATGCCATTGTCTCATGATAAACTTGGAGGTAGCTCTGATCCCTTGGTCTTCTAGCTTAGCTCAAGAGTGGAGTACATCCTCAGCACTCATTACAGGGCCTAGAAAAGCTAAGTGCTCAGTAAGAGGTGACTGAAAGAATGACTGAATTTCAGGGGGAAGGAAATATTTGAGGCTGGGCTGAGCTGGGGTTGAGTTGGGGTATAGCATCAGGTGAGGAATAAGGCTTGAAACCCAGATTTGGATATAGGTCTATACGTTTGGAGTCAAGGTGGGGAAGGACAACTGAGGTGAGAATGCAGGGAGGACTGAGGGGGAGGTTGAGCTGGTAATAGAGTAAGGGCTGGGATCAGTACTGGGGAGTGAATCAAGTCTGGGATGAGGTTGATTTTGATATTAGGAAGGGGACCCTGGTGGGCACTTGGATGAGGATGGAATTTGGGTTTACTGTGAACACTAACTGGAAGATAGGAATTTGCTGTTAGAGAAAGGGTTGGTATGTAGTTTGGGACTGAGTCGAGGGTGGTGGAAGATGACGCTTGTAGTGGAGATAGAGTGAAGGTTTTTCTGGGTGGAGTTGAGGTGAGGTTCAAGCGTGGATTTGAATATTGGTTCAGATCAGCATCAGGATAGGGAAATGGAGCTGAGAAGAGGTTGCAGAGGGAGTTGGGTTGGTGATGGGGTGAGAGCAAACGTCAGTATTGGGCCTGAGGGGCTAAGACTGAGTGGGAGTTGGCACCCATATTGGGGTGGGCACTTGGATAAGAACTAAGAGTTAATCACCCAGCCTACTGAGGTGGGGCGAGAGGGCTAAAACTGGATTGGAGTTCCAGGTGGGGTTAGGGTTAGGGCCAGGGCCGGTACCTGAGCCACCACATGTAGCTGTGCTCGTAGGGGAAGAAGCTGTGCGGGTCGTCGCAGCAGTACTTGTGGTCGCGGAAGCCGCAGCAGAAGACGGCGGCCGCCTCGCCCCCCGGCCGCGGGCAGCTGAAGCCGCGCACCACCTCCTGCTCGGCGCTCACGTAGCTGGTGCAGGCGCCGCTCATCGCGCCCGGCGCGGGGCCGCCGCCACCTCGGGCCACCAGATGGTCGGCGAGAGGACACGGGAGGAGACAGAACAGAGCTCTACAAAGATAGAGACAGAGAGATAGAGAAGCAGAGATAAGCAGAGAGACACAGAGACCAGAGAAAGACAAGGCTAGAGGCGCGGAGACGCAGCGGTTAGAGACCTAGAGTCCCTGAGGATCGGGAGAGGCGACCAGGTACGCGGACAGGGCGCGGCCGAGAGGAGGTGGAAGAGGGAGATGAGAGGGAGGAGGACCGAGAGCGATGGGAGTGGAGAGCAGCGGGAAGAAGGCGGGAGCCGGCGCCGGAGCGCGGGCACGGGGTCGGGGGCGACCCGCGGAGCTGGGAGGAGGGAGCTGCCGGGAGAGCTGCGGGCGCCGGTCCCTGACCGCTCTTCCCCCGCCGTCCTCACTGCGTTTCCAGCGTATGCCAAGAGGGTGCTGGCCGCTCAGAGAAACAACACACGTCCCGATGGCAGGGCGGGAATCGAAGCGGGGATTCCACATCTGCACTGAGCACCGCCTGGTGCTAGGCACTGCACTGTGCTGGACGCTGGAATCTCAGGGCTGGTGCGGGACGCAGACAAGCGTCGGCCAGCGACCACACAGTAGGGTTGGTATGGGATGATTAACACACTACCTCAGTTAACCTTCCTAATAAGCCAGAGGGCCAGGGATTTTCAAACCCACTTTATACATGAGAGCTAAGGGTCAGAGAGAAGTCATTTTCCCCTGGCCCTCAAACCCATGGGATTTTAACCTGGATGTATCTCCCTCCCATGGCCTTGCTTTCACAGTGCCTCTTTACCAGGGGACATTTAAGTGCCCTCATCCTCTGGCTTCCTTGCCTGCCTCTTCTTCCTTCCCTGAGCAGCTAGCTAATGCACTGACATGTTCGCACTCCCCCGTTCACACCATGTCCACACTGGCCTAGGACAAGGAGACTAATGAATGTCCCAGATGATAACCTCACCCACCAGGAAGCAAAGTATCCTCTCCATTTTCAGAAATTATTTCCAGGTCATAGAGGCAGTGTTCTCAGTAGGATCAGAGGACCACAATCTGAAGGGTCTATATGAAGCCCTTAGAGATTTCCTGTCTGTCCTCTCAAGGTACATTGGGGGAAACTGAGGCTCTGAGAGGTGCAAAGTTTGGCTCAATCATGCTGAACCAGGACTGGGGACTCCTGAGCTCTAATGTCCCATTCATTATGTGAATAATTCTCTTTCAGCCAATCACAGGGCATTGGGGCTGAAAAGGACCCCTTCCTCACTTTTTCTCTTTGTATTCTAGATTCTTTTTCTTTGTCTAGGCTAGCTCCTAAGATGCTAATGTGTGCCATGCCTTTGACCTGGGTACTGGAGCCCCTGAGATGGGTCAGGTCTGGGTCTGCCCTTGAGAAACACATAGCATGGTGGGGGAGTCAGACAGACATCACAGGTCAGGGCAGTGAAGGGGAAATGCAGGAACTGTAGCCACAGAGAGGTCACCATCTGAAGGACCAGAGAAGAGTTTTGAGGGGGTAGTGTCCTCAAGAGTCACTCAAAGGTCAGATATGAAAATTGGAGGAAATTGTTATTATCCCTCAGAAAATCTTTTTCCAGCTGGAGATCTCTGTAAACTGGGAGCTGGATAGTGTACTCTAATGGAGGTGCATTTTGGCCTCCTTATTTATTAGATGGAGAGTAAAGGGGAGAGGTGGAATTCTTTAGAAGGGAGGGAGGGCTCCTGGAGACGTAGGGTTCTGGCTTTTGGTAAAATTGGGAAGCTGCCAACAGTTTTCAAAGTCCTTTTCCAGCCAAGAATTAATTTGTTCCTCTCATCAACCCTGTGGGTGAGCCAAGCTAGGATGATTGTTCCTCTGAGAGACATAACAAACCCAATGTCACACAGTAGTCAATGGCCCAGGCAGGACTGGTACCACATCTTTCTAGCCAAGGGTCCCCTTTGGCACTCTGATGAAGACTATAGACCTCTATTCAGAAGAATATTTTAACTAAAAAGTAAATTACTTTGGAATACAAAGGAAACCAATTTTATAGAATCATTATCAAAATATTTATTTTGTGATTTAGTCTTTTTAAAACACATTAAGTAACAAGATATAGACATTAGTCTATTACCTGTAGCAATTTTGAGGTGGTGAATGAGTGTAAACAGTATTTCAAGACATCACTACTGTAATGCAATATGGAAATATCTATGATTTCTAGTGATGACAAAGTCACAGGTGCTGCTAATATTGCTGTGATTTGTTGCTTACATGCATGACAGAAGAAAATGCTAAATTTTAATTAGAGGTTAGTGAAAATAAGGACGTAATTTTTTTCCATCCAAATTCATGGTCCCCACCTCTCACCCTCCACTCCTTCCATGAACTCTTATCCATGGACCACTTGGGCTCTGTAAAATCTATGCTAAAATCTACCTCTTCTGGTCTAGCTCCTACCCCAGTGCTTGCACCTTCATCACACGCATCATGTTTCTTCCTGCAGATACTTATTGCAGACCTACTATATGCCAGACAGTTTCACATCTTGTATGTCATATAATCCTTGAAAACTTCCCTTGAGGAAGGTGTTATCCTTCCTATTTGTGGACAAAGTAACTGAGGAGGTTAAGTGATTTACCCAAATACACACAGCCAGTAGCTGAGATCAGAGTCCTATCTCCTCATTCCTCTCCAACTGAGTTTTGGGGGCCAGAAATAAGGAAAGTATAGGAGAAGGGTGAGCAGGGAGAATTCACATTTATGTAGAACACACTGAGTAGAAATTGTGCTGTGCTTTTCATTATCTCGTTTAATCCCCACAACAACCCTATGCAGTATAACTTTCTCTATTAAAAAAAATAAGTAAATTATACATATTCATTATAAAGCAACAATTAGAAAATATAGATAAACCAAAAGAAAAATCACCCATAATCTCACCACACAGAAATATTTTTTAATACTTTGGTATGAAGTCTTCCAGTTACACACATGCACACACAATTTTATATCTACTTTACAGATAGGAAAACTGGACCTAGAGAGCTTAAGTACTTGCCCAAGGATGTACCAGTCACTTGCGGTTTGACCTTAGGCGGGTCACTTTCCCTCACTGCACCAGTGCAGTAGGAAGAGCCAAAACCTGGTACTTAGAGATAACTGGAAACCCCTCTGAGCGAAACAGTGCCCTCTAGACCAAGGCAGCCTTGCTCCAGGAGCCTGGCTTCTTAGAGAGGCCCAGAAAGAAACGCCTGCTCCCTGTAGTGGACCACACAGCTCGGTGACCAGTGACCACAGTTGACCAAGGATGAGAATCCAGGTGCAACCTGTGGTTGAGAACTCAGTTCTGCTCCCCTGGGCTCTGGTGCATGTGTGGTCGACCAGGAGTCCCTGGACTCTCTCCTTGTCCTACAGCCCTCAGCTGTGCCCGCCTGGACCCCCTTTTCCAAAGGCTCCCTCAGATTCTTTTCCTAATCTTTCAGAATGAGGCTCTTGCGTCTCATCCTGAGAGAAGTGACTGCCAAGGTGGAACAAAAAATGCAGGGACAAATCGGGATGGGGGCTCATTACCTCGTGATACCAGCCAGGCTCTCCTCCCACTCTAGGTGATCAACCATTTGATTTAGATTTTTGTTAGTTTGCTGTTTGTTTTACTGCAAGATCTTTAAGACACATAAAATAACATAAAGGATAATACAAGAACTCTCCACTCAGTTGAAGAAATAAAAAAATTTATCAGGCCCTGGACAGTTTTGCTCAGTGGTTAGAGCATCAGGCCACAACTGAAGGGTCTCAGGTTCCAATTCCCAGCCAAGGGCATGTACATGGGTTGCAGGTTTGATCCCCAGCCCGGGTTGTCACGCTGGAGGCAGCCAAGTGATGTGTCTCTCTCGCATCATGTTTCTCTGTCTCTCTCCCTCTCCCTCCCTCCCTTCCACTCTATAAAAAAAAAAAAAAATCAATGAGAAAATATCCTTAGGTGAGGATTAGCAAAAAACAAACAAACAGCCCTGACCGGTTTGGCTCAGCGGTTGGAGCGTTGGCCTGCGGTACAGAGAGACCCGGGTTCGGTTCCCGCTAAGGGCACGTACTTCGGTTGCAGTTTGTCCCCGGCCCTGGTTGGTCGTGCAGGTGGCAGCCACTCGATGTGTCCCTTCACGTCGATGTTTCTCTCTCTTTCTCTTCCTTCCTCTCTCTCCCTCCCACTCTATCTGAACAAAAAATGGAAAAATATCCTCGGGTGAGGATAAAACAAACAAACAAAATTTATCAGTCATGTTGAAGCTCCTTTGTACTCCTCCCTACCCAATGCCCCATATCTTCTCTCCTGAATTTGGTGTTTTATCATTCCCATGCTCTTATGTATGCATTTATCACATATGTATGCGTCTTTGAGTGATGTATGGAGTTGCTTTGCATGTGATTAAATTTTAAATAAATAGCATCATACTGTATATATTCTTCTGGAACCTGCCTCTCACCCCCACCCCATCAATCTTATGTTCATGAGCTTTGTCTATACTGATGTGTATGCTCAGTCTAGTTTATTCATTTTTGCTGCTGTATAGTTTTACACTTAGTTAATATATGATGACTTATTATCCAATTTCTTCAACATTTAGGTTCCTTCCAATATTTTTTATTGCTATGCAATGATGCTTCTCTTGAGTTTTTTCTTTTCAAATCCATTTATTGAGGTATATTTTACAGACAATAAAATATATATATTTTAAGTGTACAGCTCAGTGTGTACATGAATATATACACTCATGTAACCACCATCACAGTCAAGATACTGTGCATTTCCACTACCCAGCACCATCTCTTGTGTCCCTTTGCAATCAGTCCTCCTCCCCACCCTTAGCCTTGCCTTAGACACCACTGCTTGGTTTTTCATCTTTACAGATTAGTTCTGCTCATTATTCTTGCATTTTCATCTTAACAGATAGTATGCCCTCTTTTGTGTCTGAGTTCTTTTCCTCACCACAAT